GTACACGCCTGTAGAGGCCAGAAGTCAATAGAAGGTTTCTTTCTCGATCCCTCTCTATCTTAAGACCAGTTCCCTAGGAAGAAGGATGTTCACATTGTGCATGGTTCTTTGCAAAGTCTCACTGAGTCTGGTATCCAATCCTCATCTTCTGCATGTCAATGATTCTCACCTATTCATTTATTTTAAGTTGATCCAGTTCTTGAGGACTGGCTGACACTAATCAAACTCACAAGAGATTGATTAGAAAGCCTTAATCTAATTTCTTCATATATAATTAGAAACATTACTGCTTAATGATTCAAAATTCTCACAAAAATTGGATAGCGTCTTCTGCTTCTTATGGGAAACTGTTCTTGGGAACTGAATTAATATGTGAAAGTTGCTGGGTAAGAAAAGAGATGAAGAAAAGGAGTTGCAATTATCTTAATGAACTTACAATAAATTGCTTTTTCTTCTGTTAGCTATAGTGTTGGATTTATTTGTTCATTCCACATGTCCTCAGCATCTACTCTGTGCCCATAGTACTGATGAGGTGCATAAAAATGTGTGTAAACCAAAGCAGAAAAAACATACAGAACAACATTGGTCAAGATGCCTCTGTGGACCAAACCTCTGGGTTTTATAATCACACAATACTGAATTTTTATAGCAAATTCTATGAGGAATTTATATTTTATTTTGCCCCTTTGAAAATGGTAATTATTTTAAGGAGATGCAATTTAAAAACAACTTGAAACATATGGTTTAGGTGTTCATGATTATATATTTCTCAAACTCATTTCATTTATAGAAAATAACTCAATACAGCTTTCTAATTACATGGGAAATGTAAAGTTTATAAATAAAAGGTGTGAAAAATTTATGTCATGGGTCCCTAGTTCACAAACAGGGAAGGGGAGTGTTAAAGCACTTGCACTGTGTCAAGCTGACTGCAAGGAGTCCCCATGAGGCATATTGACCAGAGATCTCTTCCTTACAGATTCCTAAGTGATTATCTCTAAGGGTTATGTATAATTTATGTGACTTTAGGTAAGTTCTGGTGCCTGGTTATTTGATAACACGTGCTATTGGGATCAGCAGAGTCTGAGTAAGGTGGCCCTATGAAATATGGGTGTCTCTTGTTCTATTGGAATAAAATCTCAGTACAAAGAGTTTTCCACAGAAGGTTAATTTGTCATTTGCAATGGAGAAATTCAATACGTTTAGTTCTCAAAGTCATGGTTGCTTCATATTGAATTTCCTATCATTTGCCCTGCAGACTTACAAAGTTTGATCAGACCTGCAAAATCATCCAGCCAATTTTCAATCTTTCTCACCCTCTCCCCATCTCTCTCCTATTATCTGCTTCTCTTCTCCACCTTCTCCCTTCCACCGTCCCTCTCTCCTCTACTCCTATTATTCCCATTTCTCTAATAAAGTCTAGCTTATGAAGATTTTGATACTTGTCTCCATCTACAAGAATAGAGAAATCTTTATGCTATTAGAACAAAAGAATTCTGAAGTGCCAGGAACCAGACAGAAGCACAGATTGTGAAAGGCAAGATGATGAGACTTGTTATACTACAAATCAGAATTAAACCAGCAACAAGAACAACTTGCCTCATATGGACCTTGAGTTGATAAATATGATATTTATGCATATTTATATATATCCATAAATAATCCATTAAATTCTTACTTGAACTCTATTTGAAATAGAAGGAAGTGAAAGATATATTTGACAAGAACTTTAAGGTTTTGAAGAAAGAAATTGAAGACGATACCAGAAAATGTAAGAAGCTTCCATGCTCTTGGATTGGGAGGATCAACATAGTAAAAATGGCAATTCTACCAAAGGCAATCTATAGATTCAATGCAATCCTCATCAAAATCCCAACAAAATTCTTCACAGACCTTGAGAAAACAATAATCAGCATTATATGGAAAAACAAAAAAACTCAGGAGAGCCAAAACAATCCTATACAATAAAGGAACTTCTGAAGGCATCACCATCCCTGACATCAAACTCTATTACAGAGCTACAGTATTGAAAACAGCTTGGTATTGGCATAAAAACAGAGATGTTGACCAATGGAATCAAAATTGAAGACCAGGATATTAATCCACAAACCTATGAACACCTGATTTTTGACAAAGAAGCTAAAGTTATACAATGGAAGAAAGAAAGCATTTTTAACAAATGGTGCTGGCATAACTAGATGTCAACCTGTAGAAGAATGAAAATAGATCTATATCACCATGCACAAAACTCAAGTCCAAGTGGATTAAAGACCTCAATATCTGACCACACTGAACCTGACAGAAGAGAAAGTGGGAAGTAGCCTGCAATGCATGGGCACAGGAGACTACTTCCTACCTATAACCCCAGTAGCACAAACAATAAGAATAACAATGAATAAATGGGACCTCCTGAAACTGAGAAGCTTCTGTAAAGCAAAGGATACAGTCATTAAGACAAAAAGGCAACTTACTGAATGGGAGAAGATCTTCACCAACCCCACAACAGACAAATGTCTGATCTCCAAAATATATAAAGAACTCAAGAAACTAGATATTAAAATTCTACATAACTCAATTAAAAAATGGAGTACTAAACTGAACTGAGAATTCTCAACAGAATTTCAAATGGCCAAAAGATACTTAAGGACATGTTCAACTTCCTTAACTATCAGAGAAATGCAAATCAAAACTACTTTGAGATACCATCTTACACCTGTCAGAATGGCTAAAATCAAAAACACCAATGAAAGCCTATGCTGGAGAGGATGTGGAGTAAGGGGAACACTCATCCATTGCTGGTGGGAATGCAAACTTGTGCAACCACTTTGAAATCAGTGTAGTGGTTTCTCAGAAAATTGGGAGTCATCCTACCTCAGGATCCAGCAATACCTCTCTTGGGAATATACCCAAGAGATGCCCAATCATACTACAAAAGCATTTGCTCAGCTATGTTCATAGCAACATTATTTGTAAAAGCCAGAACCTGGAAGCAACATAGCTGCCCATCAATGTTAGAATGGATAAAGAAGGTGTGGCACATTTACACATTAGAGTATTACTCAGTGGTAAAAAGCAAGGACATCATGAATTTTACATGCAAATGGATGAAGTAGAAAACACTATTCTGAGAGAGGTAACCCAGACCCCAAAGTATGAATATGGTATATACTTACTCATTAGTGGTTTCTAGGCATAAACAAAGGACATTGAGCCTATAGTTTGTGATCCTAGAAAAGCTAGGTAGAGGTGAACCGAAATAAAAACATATATAGATCCTCCTGAAAATTGGAAGCAGACAAAATCACCAGGCAAAAGTTAGGAGCATGGGAGTGGGGATGGGTGGGGGGGAAAGGGAGAAGGGTGAAGGGGAGGGTTGGGGAGAGCTTGGGGGAGTGGGATGGTTGAGATGGAAGTAGGACAGATATGGGAGCAGGTAAGAAGATATGTTTATTGAGGGAGCCATTTTGGGGTTGGCAAGAGCTTGGCTCTGGAAGGGTTCCCAGGAGTTCACAGAGATGATCCCAGCTAGGACCCTGGGCAGTGGAGAAGAGGGTGCCTGAAATTGGCCTTGTTCTGTAGTCAGACTGATGACTATCTTGACTATCACCATAGAACCTCTGTCTGGCGACAGATGGAGAGAGAGACACAGACCCACATGGGAGCACTGGACTGCGCTCCCAAGGTCCAGTTGAAGAGCAGAAGGAGGGAGAATATGAGCAAGGAAGTCAGGACTGCGAGGGGTTGGTCCACCCACTGAGACAGTGTGCCTGATCTAATGGGAGCTCACCAACTCCAGCTGGACTGGAACTGAATGAGCATGGGATCAAACTGGACCCTCTGAATGGGGCTGACAAGTGGGGCAGACTGAGGAGACAATGATAATGGCTCTGGGATTTGTCTCTACTGTATGTACTGGTTTTTGGGGATCCTATTCTATTTGGATGCATACCTTACTAAGCCTGGATGTAGCAGGGAGAGTCTTGGACTTCCCACAGAACAGGGTACCTTGCCCTCTCTTTGGACTGGAGGGGGTGAGGGAGGGTGTGTGAGGGAGTGGGAAGAAAGGGGGAGGAGGGGAGGAATTGGAAATTTTGATGGGTATTATTTATAAAGTAATAAAAAAGAAAGAAAATGGGCAAATAAAACTACACTAAACTTTTTTCAGAAAACTATCGATGACCCAGTATTATAGATAGGTACAACTAAAAGTCAATTGCGTAAAAACATAAGAGTAATTATGAGTCTTATGTTGCTTTGAATGAACATAATTTTGCCTTGTAGGCAGACGGATGACTATCTTAAATGTCACCATAGACCCTTCATCCAACAACTGATAAAAACAAAGGCAGAGACCCACAGTGGAGTGCTGGGCTGATCTCCCAAAGACCAATTGAAGAGTGAGAGTGAGTAAAGAGGTTAAACCATGATTGTGACACCCACTGAAACAGTTTACCTGAGCTAATGGGAGCTCACCAACTCCAGCCAGAAAGGGAAGGAACCAGCATAGGACCAAACTGGACCCTCAGACAGAAAGCTGATGGGAGAACATGCTGTTGGCAGGCAAAGTCACCGACAGGTCTGGACCAACTCAAGTGCTGTTGATTGTGCCAAGCTCCCTTTGTTCCCACACTTCAAGGTCAGCCTGTAGCTCCTATCACAGCTACCAAGAAGTTTTTCTTGGTTACCTCACATTTAGTTCCCTGTTTTAAGATGATGGAGATCTCTTTCCTGAAATAGGTGGAGCTTTCTTTTATAGGGGTGTGGATTGGAGCCAACGCAATGGCTCGTCATTATTTGAGAGAATTTTTCCATCACATTCTAAAACGTTAACACAGGGGCTCAGTGGGCCAGCTGGTGGGGCTGGAGTTCCACAGTTTGGGTGTCAATAGGTCTCGCCTTTGTACAGTCAAAATCCAGCCCTATATCCCATTCTTTATTGTTAAGTTTAAATCCTGTTTAACGAGAACCTGCTGCTGATGTAATAAGCCCATCACAGTAAATTAATAAATCCAGGTTTATTCTGAGCACAGCATTCCTGGGTGGACCCAGGGGAAGTTGAAGAGACCACAAGAGGAAACCACACTGTGGAGGCTTTTAATATCCTTGGGGATGAAGCCTCTGAAGGCAGACTTTCTGGGGGCGGAGTCTGGACTGAGGCAACTCCTGGCAAGCAAACTTTGGGAGATTCACCCAAACATTCCAGACGATTTGGATATATGGATTCCAGGGGCTGAGGTGAAGCTTCCACCCGAACATCCCAGACTCTGGGTACAAGGGCGCAGGTTCATGTCTGGCTGCTTCCTGCTGGCATGGGACGATGTGGGGAGGGGGAGAGTTGAGAGTCATTGGGCTCACGCTCAGCAGAAGGTTGGGTGGAGGGACATCAGCTTAACTGCCATCCTGGAGACCTTAGACATCTGTTTCTTGAGAGACCTGAGAAGGCAGGTTGCCAGGAGAAAAAACAGATTATTATCATCAGTCCTATGAATGGGGCTAGTCATGGGAAGGGTGATGAACTGCCAGAAACAATGGAACAGAGAAGTACCATTGATGTAGGGAAGAGGCAAGGCTGTACAGAATGAGCCAGACATGAAAGCAGATATGCCTTTTAGAACCAACTTCCAGTTGCTGGGTAGGTGCCCATTTGAGTCTGAGAGCAGGTACCAATGGTGAAGTCACAGGAAATGGAGCAGGCACTGGCATATCTGAAGAACCCTTTGCAGTTTGTCCTTGGCTTTGACAGCGTGCATCACCAGTAAAATATGCTCAAAAATTGATGGGGTAAAAAATAGACCCTGGAGACTGTTAGTTTCCACCAGACCATATTTCTTGATACAGCAGCAGAACTTCTCCCGGGAACCTGCAGGTGTCTGTAAGAAACCTGGAACAGATTTACATCTTGGCATCAAAGCAAAAGGCTATGACGTTAGATTAAAAGGCATGAAAGTTTTAGAAGACAAAGGAAAATTTAAACCTTCTGAACCTCTGAAGTTACATCTGAAACCTGGCTATCCTGGACTATGAAGCCTATGAAAGAGGCACACCTGTCTGTATTTTTAGCAGGAAACTTAACTAATAAACTAATGAGCTACCAGTACCGTAAGTCATCAAATGCCATCAGACAGATCTGGATAGAATAAGTAAATGAGAGGAAGTGAGACAGCTTTTTTCAGCTACCCAGGCAATCCCATCTCTCTGAAGTCTTTGGCCAATACCCGTCTTTGAAGCCTTTAGCTGCTAAGCCCAGGAGGCCTGATGCTCATCAGTAGGAACACCACTTCCAGAAGCCATGGGGCAGGTGGCAACCAGGCCCTTAGGGTTTGCTCCGCCAGAATTCCCACTGAACAAATAACCTTAACCCCATCTCACTGGGGACAAGCAGGTGGAACTTTCCAAGAAGCTGTCTTGGTTTCCATTGGGATGTGACAAGCTGGTTCAGGTTCCTGCTGTTTACCCTTTGCTATGATGACAAAAACCTGTGGGTTCAATGAAAGCCTTTCTCCTCTAAGTTGCTTTATGTCAGGATATTTTATCTGAGGAAAAGGAGTGAAACTAGGACAAATGGCAGCTCCACTGTGTAAAGGTTAATCTTGAGTGACATGGCTGGATTTGGAACCACCTAGGAGACACATCTTTGGGCTCTTTGATAGTGTTGTTGGCAGAAAGAGATACATGTACTGTGTAAGGGGAGGTCAATGAGTCAGAACCAAACAGTACTGTCATAAATATGATTACAGGATGTTCTGTTTCAAACCGAGGACAAATGGCTGAGGTGTCTATTTAACACATCAAAGCAGACCTGGCCTCTGGTTTCTCCCAGCATCCCTCAGTCCCTACCTGTTACAGGGTATGGCTCTCATACCCCACCCTAGACCCTGAGCTCACAGGACCAGGGGCTGGGCTGCCCTTCTGCCAGAGACGCTTCCCTATATAATCCAAATATTTTGGTTACACGACTCCTGGCTGCTAACCTGACTCCCATCTTCTCCTTCACTTCCCTTCCTCCTCTCCCTGAACTGACCAGTTTAGTTTGCTTGTGTTCTCTCTGGATCCTCCCAGATGTCCCTATCTGGACCTACATTGTCCCTTTTATCTATAATAAACTTCCTCCTCTGCCATACCAAGGAGCAACTGTGTCCTTCCTTTTCCTTTTTATTTATTTATTTTTCATTCATAGGCAAGCACATCTTTTGCTCTCTTATGCACATCCACTCTTCAAATACAATTGCAAAATACATCAAGGAGAGAATTGTTCAAAGCCTTGAATCACTTGGTCAAGCATGACATGTTTCCAGAAGTTCAGCATGAGAAAATCTCAACTGCATACAGAAGCCAAATGCACAGCCCTGCTGCAAAGTCCTAGCCATCTCGGAATCTCTAAAAGGTGATTCTCCATTTCAGAACACCCCTAGAACAGAGGAACACACAGCAGCCACGAGACCAAGCAAGACACACCAAGTTTTCTTTGGTCGATTGTTTCTTAATCCTCAAATTACCCCAATCTAGCCCTAGATGTTGATATGTCCCCTGCATTGCCAAGGTGCCCTGCTCAGGTGTCTGATCACCTCACGGACAACAGTAATTCTTTTTTCCTAATTACTCCAGGGCTGCCGGGCCCAATTCAGAGCAATTTGTTCCCTAGGAATTCCTCTGCTTCATTTTCAGTAAGAGGCAGGTAAACATTCTTCCCAGAGTGCTCAGTGGAGTGCTCCATGAATCATCTAGACTGTGAAAGATGTTCCCATATTTCCATTTCCCCCATCACACGCATCGTGAGTACACATGTAACTAGCTTATACCTGTTCAACTTTTAAGGAAGAGACTGACTCAAACTTAGCCACTGTGTCTGACCTCCCCACTGTAAAAATGCCTTTGGCTCAGCTTCAAAGAAGTGTCCGTTAAAAAATCAATGCCCAAGATTCATTTGATACCCAGCCAAGAGTCTTCTGGAAAATTGGAGAAGACGTCACACTCGTGCCTTAAAAGGAGTGAGATGCTTTAAGGGAAGTGATTTTTTTTCTCACCCGACAGAAAATAATCCCCAACTGTTAAGAACGTTTTGCCTTAGCCTGTTTCTAGGGGAACCAGTGTTACTAGTAGGCCAGGCCAAGGCTGCCCATCAGAGGGGATGTGAGATGGGTCGGTGGACCAATTGAAACAGGAAGCTAGCTACAAGGCGTTTGAGGATTGAGGAAGAGGATCTAGAGGGAAGGGAGCCTGGAGAATCCCAGGAGTCCACCAGGGCTGGGGTCCCCAGGGAAGCTGGAAGGATAGAGGGACCAGGAGTCCCAAAAGATGGAGATGTGGTGTGGGTCCCTGAGGAGGCAAGATAGGTAGAGGGATCTGAAGTCGCCCCGGATGTAGACTTGTTCGTGTTGAAGGTCCCGGAGGGAGCTAGAAGGGTGGAAAACCCTGGAGTCTCTAGGGATGTGAGCATGGAGAGCATCTCTGAAGAGGACCAGGTGGAAATCTGGAGGAGGAAGGAAGGAGGATGGAGATGCTGAGAGTCCAGGAGGCAGAAACTGAGAAGCACTCTGGGCTATCCAGAGAGATCAGCAAATTGGTGGTCCCTAAGGGCAAGGTACCAGAAAGGCCAAAAGGGAAGCAGAGGAATCGCCAGCGTCAACTGGAGGACCAAGGATAGGGGGGCAACAGGATCAAGAAAGCTATTCAGGCCAACCTAGCCAGGACCGGGAGGAGTACTTAGAGCCCCACATGGAAGGGACCATACCACGGCGCTATCGCTCATGGGTAGTGAAGCACAAGGGCATCCCTAACAGTCTGCGGGACCTCCGCAAGAGTCAGGCCAAGTACCACCTGGAGAGGAAGTCCAGACTGTGAATCCACATCAAATCTTTATCTTAGAGCCGCTCGTCGCGGAACCCCGTTCGTCCCTGGCTCCTCGATAATACCTGGCTCCCCGGGTGTCCTTAGTACCTACAGTGTCTCTGGTTTTCCGGGTGTCCCTGGGTTTGGACTCAGTTTTCTCGCACTTCGAAGAGAGAGAGAGCTCCACTTGAATACAGGAGATGGAGACGGAAAACAGGCCCTTCAGCCTCCGCCCCAAGTCATCCCTCAGCCTCTCTTCAGTGGTCTGCCTCCCGCTGTGTCTTGCTCAAGGAGCTGGCAAAGATGGGCGACCCCGACCTGCTGGAGGAGGAGGAAGGTAGGACCGCAGGCTGGCTCTGAGCAGGCGCGTGAACTTTCTCCGCGAGCGGTTTCTGGGGGACGTTGGCAGCTGTGGGTCCCTGTCCTGGGGAATGTTCGCAGCGTAGCGAGCCCCATGCAGAGCTGTGCCTGACAGGCAGAGGATGAACTTCTGTGCCCTGCGATGTCTCCCTGATCCACCTGTGCCCCTGGGATCTGCAACCTGTGACTCCCAGAATATCTGGGCATCTGTCTAGGACGCCTCTAACCTCGAGTGATTGGCGTGTTGTGGTGTCCTGGGCCAGAGGATCCCACTCCTGGAAGGTGGGCTTTCCAATGATAGTGTGCACAGATGGCGACCCTCCTGTAAGGAGCTGGCCCGGATGTCTGCTGTAAGTTCTTTGCAGACCTTCAAACATATTTTGAGACAGTGATTACAGAATGGTATACCCTAATGTCTAACAGCTCTTGTGAACACTGTGGGGTGTGTGTGTGTGTGTGTGTGTGTGTGTGTGTGTGTGTGTGTGTGTGTGAGAGAGAGAGAGAGAGAGAGAGAGAGAGAGAGAGAGAGAGAGAGCACTTTAACCACTTTAACTGAAGTCTTTCTTCCGTTGAGAACACTGTCAATTTTTATGGAAGTTTACACTGACCTATATTCTGTCGATTTATAGTTTGTCCATTTAACACATATTTCCTAAACATACATTTTTTTTTCCTGCTGGAACCAGCAAGCCTCAATTCTCTTAGTAATTCTGGGGATTTTGTCTATTTGTTTTGTTGTTGTTGTTGTTATTGTTGTTGTCTTCTTTTTTAGACATAAAAGGTGTTCAGGAGTTGGAGGAGGGGAGGGTAAGATCTTTTATTCTATCGTCCAGTCAGACTTCAAACTCATGGCAGGATTCCTGTTGCAGACTGAGTGCTGAGATTAAAGGCAGGCGCCCATGGTTCCATTAAAATAATATTTCCAAAAAAATAGTAGTAGTGTAGTTAACTACTTAATGAGACCAAGGATATTGTTATTGTCTCCCCCAATTTTACTTTTTAAAACAGTCTCACTGTGTAGTCTAGGCTGGCCTCAAACACGCAGATATCTGCCTGCTTCTGCCTCCCAAGTGCTGGGATTCAAGGCTTAGGCCACCATCATTCTGCACTTCTCTCTTGCCTTTTATAAATGGCTATTTAGGACTAGAGACATGACTCAGAGGTTAAGACTGCTCTGCCAGAGGTTCTGAGTTCAGGGGTTCACCTGAAGTGAGATCAGATGCCGTCTTCTGGCCTGCACGGACGCATGCAGGCAGAACACTGCATATACGCAATACATGAATAAGTAAATAACTTCTAAAAATTGATTTTTATTGAGAGATAATCTTCATCCCATAAGTTAAGTGTACAGTTAATGGCTCCTGTCTATTTGGAGATTTTGTGACCATTGTTGTAGAGTCATTTTACATCACCTTCATCATTTCAGCTGATAGCCCTGTCTGGAGCCACTCCCCGTTTCTGTGCCTTGTGTCTCTGTAGATTTCTTTATCTCAGACATTTCAGGTGAGTAGGACCATAAGTCTGTGCTCTGCTAAAACTGGCTTCTATCTCTTGGTAAGTTTCTGAGGTTCAGTCACATAGTATACCATTCCTTTTATTTGGCAAGTGATATTTCATTGTGGAGGAACCCCACACCCGTTTCTTCGTCAAATCCTGAACATAAAGTTAATTTCCCTCTTGATGCTACAGTGAATAATACAGCAATGAACATTCATTTCTAAGTTATTTTTCAAACATTGTTCCTCATTTTTCTTGTATCTATCTCAGAAGGTCCATGGAACATGTAGTCACTCTGTATTGACTAACTTAAGCCAAGGCCACAGTTTTCTAAGGGTCACAACCAGCAGGACATGAACAGGAGGACAAACCTGGAAGAGAGAGGAATGACGAGACAAGAGTTATGAGAAATGGACAAGAAGTCTGTATTCTGATCAAGCTGCCAACTTTATTTTTTCTCAGGAACATTATATAGCAAAAAGGGCAGGGGTGAAGTTAGGATCCTGGAATGTCAGGTCTGGAGGCACCTCTAGCTGATAGAAAGAGATAAGGAGATGCTGAGAGTCTGTAAATATTTACTAACAAGGGAAATGCTAATTACTTCTGGTGCCTGGGATCCACGGGTCTGCAGGGGATCTTAACTCACAGGGCGATGAGGGTTATCTGGGCCCAGAACTTGCCCTACAGAGGCTTCTGAACAGCTTACTTAATTTGTGACTAAGATGGCTATAACCAAATATAGGTCTTTGCTTCCAGCACAGGGGGAGGAGAGAGAGAGAGAGAGAGAAAGAGAGAGAGAGAGAGAGAGAGAGAGAGAGAGAGAGAGAGAACTAAATGGAAGTGATGTGATCTGTTGAAACCTCAGAGAGTTCATCCCTAATGACATACGGCCTCCAACAAGGCGCACCTCTCTATCCCTCCTAAACAGGTTCATGTGGACAGAGCTCAAGTATGTCAGCCTACAGGGGCCATTCTTATTCAAACTACCAGATTTTGTCTATGCTTCTGTGACTGCTATTGACAAACTATAACTGGAAAAAGTAGATTGAAGTTTCGCATTGGAAATGAAAGTTTAGAAGCTGGATGTAAAGACATATTATAGCTATATTAAACAGTATATCTAATAAAAGCACCCACCCCTTAGTTGTGAGGTTATTTAAGTTCCCATGCTGTTGTTAGTTGTTCTCAATAGGAACACACTAAGAAATCTGCTGTTAGGTGATTTCAAAAGCCTGGTTGGTAGAGCTTCCTCCTGCACATCAGGACACAGTATGAACTTGGGAACACTAACCCATCTGTGGTCTGATATTTACCAAAACACTGCTCATGGTGCCATGTGGCTACACTTTATTTTGTGCTGCTGGTAAGCATGTAACATGAGATGACCTCTTGGCAAATGCAGGAGCTATTTCGGGCTCTGATTTTGCAAGAGAATGTGTTCACAGTAAGGTGCCTTCGGTGGAAACTGGTCGGCCAGTCTGTGCTGGCTTTCCTCTGTAGTGTGTAAATGGTGACTCTCCTCAGTGGTTAGTACCACCCTTCACAATTCGGCTTTCTTGCCTACATACAGCAAGTCTCCAGGGCTGGAGAAATCTCAAAGTGTTTACATGAGACCTGCTCCAAATTTGGCCTCCTCAGGACCCTTGGTTTTTAACATTTAAAAAATATTTACTTTTAAGTGTGTTTTAAAATTTGTTTATTTTATATGTATGAGAGTTTTTCCTGTGTGTATATGTACTACATGAATACATAGTGACCCCAGAAACCAAAGAGGGCATTATTCCCTGGGATTGGAGTTACAGTTGGTTGTGAACTGCCATGTGAGTGCTGGGAAGGGAAACTGATCCTCTCTACAAGAGCAATATGTGTTCTAAATTGCTGAGTTATCTCCCAACCCCTTACTTTTATTTTATTTATGTGTCTCTGTGTTTGCTGTGTGTGTGCAGGTGCCTATAGAGGCCAGAAGAGAGTCTTGGTTTCCTTGGAGCTAGAATAACAGACATTTATGACCTCTATGATATGGTTGCTGGGAGCAGAGCCTTAGTCCTCTGAAAGAACACTGCGTACTTTGGATCTCTGAACTCTCATTCCAGTCTCCGGCTTCGTGTTTGGTGTGTGTGTGTGTGTGTGTGTGTGTGTGTGTGTGAGAGAGAGAGAGAGAGAGAGAGAGCCATGAACATTTATGTGTGGGACAGTGAGTGATCTCTCTTTCTCTCTCTCTCTCTGAGAAACGCTTTTTCTTTTAACAACATGCTTTTATTTAGAGAAGGATAGAGTCACAGTTCAAAGCCAGTTTTGATTTTTAAGTCAGTTTGTACTACCATTATTTCGAAAAGTAAGAAGATGTGTATGTTTGGGTAGTGAGATTTTACCCTGCAGAGTATATTGGCACCGTAAATCAGATTTTTCATTACTTGTTAATACTTTAAGGATAGCTATCATTTCTTATTTAGGCATCTAGATGTCCAAAATCTTTTGATATCTTAAGGATGGGTATTTTCTGTTTTCCTACAAAGTCAGGAACAGAATCCTGCCCCAACCCTTGTGAGGTTTCCTTGCAACCTGTACTATTATCACCTCAGAAAATGAGCTGTCATTTCTCTTTATCAAGAGGTTTCTCCTTTTCAAATTGATCATTGATTAATTTTGATAGTATCTCTAGCTTTTCTTCTCCTCTGGAAACAAGATCAAAATCCCTTCCCCAATGTAGCACATCTCCTGGTATCCATTCTGAAGTTAACACATCCTTGAAGTACACCCATTGATTTAATTCAGAAGGTTTTTCTGTTGTCTAATGCATTTCTGCAGCTGTTGTTCCTTTCTTATTAGCATTGAGAAAATTCAAATTTAATAAAGCATTATTTAATCTATTTTGGGGGGTCTTTATCACCTCTTTCTGTTTGTTTAACATATACTTCATAGTTTGATTTTATCTTTTTATTACTGCCTGACCTATAGAATTGTGCGATATACCTATAATATGCTTAATATTATAATAAGCAAAAAACTGTTGAATTTTCTTAGAGACATATGCTGCAGAATTGTCTTTTTTCATTTGTGCAGGTATACCCACGATGGCTATAACCTCTAATAAATGTGTGATTACTAAATCAGCCTTTTCTGAACTCAAAGCAGTTGCTCATTGAAAACTTGAATAGGTATCAATATCATAACATATATTTTTTAACTTTTCAAATTCTACAAAACTGAACACATCCATCTGTCAGATTTCATTTCTTTGAGTACCCTTTGAGTTACTTTCTGCAGATAGTGGTGTTTGGTTGTATAAAGAACAAGTAGGACATCTCCTTATAATCTCCTTGGCTTGCTGCCATATAATAGAAAAGACCTTTTTAAAAACTTTGTGATTTACATGATTTTTTAAATGAAATTCTGAGGCATACTTCACACTTCCAATAAAAAATTGATTTCTGCATTACCTTGTGCTAGAGGACATGGCAGATCCCTATGTGATCGGATGTGTTTTGTACCTAGGATGATGTCTATTCCTGATTATATCTTGTGCCTGAATAAATAATAAAGTCAATTCTGTATCATCTTGTATAAATTCAGAAG